ATACTTAACCCTCACACCCACACGCACAGCCAGCATCTATTTCCTAAGCCACATCCGTAGTTATATCCAACCCAGAACGAAGTCAAGCGCAGAAAAAAATCATTTTGCGCGCAAGTGTCGCACGCGTAAGTGTCGTGCGCGAAAATGTCGTTGCGCGAAAGTGCCGCTGCGCGCAAGTGTCGTGCGCGAAATTGTCGGCGCGCAAGTGTCGGCGCGCAAATGTCACGCGCGCAAATGTCGTGCCACGAGTCGAAGATTTTATAGCAAACATAAGATTTCTGTGTTAGAGCATCAAAAGAATTCTTTAACTTGACTAAGAAGTTTTCATAGAAAAAGTGAATATATTAACGAGGAAAATAAGATAAATTCCTTTCACATTCTTAGCAAGTGAAAAAGGACAGACGTTTCTATGTAATATTAGCTAAAATAATCTTCGAGAGTTTGTATAAGATGCTAAAGAGAGAATGTGAATATTTAGTGTTCAGAAATGTAAGAGAAGCATATTTTATTTATTAGTCATAACACGCTTTAAACGATCAGAAGACAAAATAGGGTTGTCCTCTGAAAGAGGCCAAGCAGCTGTCTGTTTATGTAAATATTTTCTTGTATCATTGATATTGACAATAAAGTACGACTTAGCCAAAGTCGGATTAATGGAGTCGAAAACTCGCATTCCTTGAAATCTAACCGTACTGGCACTGACGAGATGATCAGACAAACTGTCGTCGTCTTCATCGTCGGGTGAATCATCGCCATCTGCGTCATTTTCGATGATTTCTTCATCTTCGTCCGAACTGTTATCGTCTGAATCTGGATCGAAATCCGGATCATATTTGTCAGGACAGGAATAATCGACTATTCGTAATTTCATAAGTTGAAGACTAGATAATTTCGACATTTTTTCCAATGGTAAAATTTGATCTTGTTGATACATATTCGTATCAAGTACAAGACGACAAACATCTGAATATGCACGTAAAATAATATTCTCGATCGCTTCAAGTGAAAGCGATGCAATAGAAGATGACAATAAAGGCGACATTTGTTTGAAATCGACTACTTTAGACAGTTTGTGATGACGTGGAAATAGAAAACCATTATTTATATTACTGCTGTTGTTTTAACATTTAACAGAATTTAAATAAGATAACTTTTTTGCTCGTTGAAGAAATTGATGAACACTAAAATTGACTATTGAAGAAAAAGGTCCTGACATGGCGCGGCATGAACGGAAGGTACTTTCACAACATTGTGAGTTAAATATGGATACATTCAAGCATTCTGTTGGTAAAAGTTGTTGCATAACAAGTAGAGCGAGATAGACGAGTGTATGACTATTGATTTCGATCGAAAACATTGCTGGAAGGCTAATAAAGTATTGGTGCTTTGTTTTCTTCTTTTGATGCTTCACAGAAGATAATTTGATAAGAGTAAAATCAAGATCACTTTTATTCTTTGAACTTAACCAGATGTACCAATATCGAATCAGAAAGACATTTGTCCATGAATAGTAAATCCAATCAAGATAACTAGTTTTTCCCTCTACTGAAAGGAGGGTCATACACCAAGTTAGGTTCGTAAGTTCGTAAGTTCGTTCGTTCGTTCGCACAGAACGAAAAAATGTTTTTTTGACCTATCACATCATCGATCTTACAACAAAACTTAACCTCAGCCATTGGATTAGTCTACAGTCCCTAAAACCTGGACCAATCAGATGTCTGCTTCGTCTGCATTCCAGCCAATGAGATTTCAGGCGACAGATTTTCATCCAATTATAGGTTTTCAGGCTCTACCTACGATCCAATAAGATGTCGAGAGTCGGAATTTCGACCAATCATAGATTTCCACGGGCTGGCTATGTACCAATAAGATTTCGAGAGTTGAAATTTCGACCAATCATAGGTTTTCACGGTCTAGCTATGCGCCAATCGGATTTCGAGAGTTGGAATTTGGACCAATCATAGTTTTTCACAGTCTGGCTATGTGCCAATCAGATTTTGAGAGTTAGAATTTGGACCAATCACAGGTTTTCACGGTCTACCTATGCGCCAATCGCATTTCGAGTGTTGGAATTTGGACCAATCATAGTTTTTCAGTCTGGCTATGCGCTAATTAGATTTCGAGAGTTAGAGTTTGGACCAATCACAGGTTTTCATGGTCTACCTATGCACCAATCCGATTTCGAGTGTTAGAGTTTGGACCAACCATAGGTTTTTATCATCTGGTTATGCGCCAATCAGATTTGGAGAGCTAGAATTTCGACCAATCACAGATTTTCACAGTCTGCCTATGCGCCAATCAGATTTCGAGAGTTGAAATTTGGACCAACCATTGGTTTTCACGGTCTAGCTATGCGCCAATCAGATTTCGAGAATTGGAATTTCGACCAATCATGGGTTTTCACGGTCTCGCTATGAGCCAATCAGATTTCGAGAGTAGGAACTTGGACCAATCATAGGCTTTCACCGTCTGCCTATGCGCCAATATGATTTCAACAGTTGGGAGTTCGGCCAATCACAGGTTTTCACACACTGCCTATGCGCCAATCAGATTTCGAGAGTTGGAATTTGGGCCAATCATAGGTTTTCAGGATCTGACTCTGCGCCAATCAGATTTCTAGAGTGGGCATTTGAATGAATTATAGGTTTTCGCGGTCTGCCTATGCGCCAATCAGATTTCTAGAGTGATCATTTAGACCAATTATAGATTTTCAGGTTGGTGCGGGTGTGCGTATGAGGGTGTTGGTGTTGGTGTGGATTTGGAATTAAATTAAATATATTTATATGCACACCAACGCCTATGCACACATCCCACACCCATAGTGCCGCACCCCACAACACGCACACCCGCACCCACACCCACATCCGACACCAACGCACGCACACCCCACCCACACCTACACCAACACACGCTTTATGTGTTTCAAACTGAAAGTTTATATTTGAGTTTGGTTGGAAGACCAATTGGGCAAGTATTCTTATGTGGATTCTGGAAATTTTAGTCGTGTCTGACAGCTAATGCTATTGTGCTAGCTGTTTCTGGAAGTTTATTTAGTGCAATGAGGGTGGTTCCGTTTCGTTTAGGTCTCGGACTGGTTTCTCGGTTTGTTACGATGGGATCACTCCAAAGAGCAGTTGCGAGTGTGAGCGCCGATGTTTCTAAGAAAATTGCATTGACATTACTGTTCTTGTCTGAAAACCTTACTGAGGAAAGTTTTCTTATATGACGTGTGTCGTATCTAGCTTCTGTTTTAGTGCATAGCTGTCATACACTGCTTGGAATGCTGATGGAATGCAGCAGTGACAATGACTTTTGATGGATACAGTTCTTCAACATCCTTTAAATTCTTTTCATTCTCCTTTTATATTTATAGCTTTTATTTGAAAGAGAAATTGGTACAAGCTTTGTAAATGATCTATGAGCTAGAAAAGTGAAATGAACAGATTTCGAGCATGCAATATAGTTTTTTTATGAGTTAGATGGTTTTTCTGAAGATCACGCCACTGTTAAAATGTTGTTGTTTTAAACAATGAATTGAAAGCGTTTCCGAGTATCTTGTGCTATTCTATGTAATCGTTTAAGTTCTTCTATTCGGGCCGTCGATGGTTTAACTTGAAGTGTTGCAAATTCAAATGGGCGTATAATAAGTATATCGTCAAGTCTCTTTACACGAGATAATGGAACATAAACCGATGCAACTTCGAGTGGTCCAGGAGGCATGACCAGATCGACGATAATTTTACCGAGTGTTTGGCCTTGGCTTTTATATGTTGTCATGCTATATGCGGGTATAAGCGGAAGTGCTTTACGTTTGACCGAGAGTTTTGTTGTTTTCTTGTTTATTTTGGCCGCTTTTGCTATATTTTCTGAAAGAAGTTCCTTGGCGTCAAACAAGAATGTTTGTTCACTAATAGCTATAGGAACTATTTTGGACTGCAGTTCAGCAAGTTTGTTATCAAGTTTGCAACCAGGAAATTCTACTAAAGCATACTTTGGTTGCGTTATAAACTTGGTATTTGGTGGAAAATTCTTATCCTGGTATCGAACATCTTCTAGTGATTCATCGTATACAAGTTGACGAAAGATTCCACGTGTACCGTTGGAGAGTCCCAGTTCGGTAGCGATGTTTTCTGTGAGTAAAACTGGCATTCCTGGTACCAGAGGTAGATACCCTGGAAGATGTTCGGTTTTATTGTCAGGTAGTTCAAGTATGGCTTTACATAATCGTAGATCATCCACTGGTTTTCCTTGAATATAATCTTGAGCAATGCATACAATTGGGGTAAGTCCCATTTCCATTGTTTTGTTTAAGACAGCTCTATTATTAATTTGAGTGCGTAGCGTATTCCGAAAAACCAGTATTGGAGCCTATTGAAAGAAAAGTAATGTGATACACAGAGAAAATGAATGTGCATACTTCGTTCCATGGCTTTTGTTGTAGAGATACTTGAAGTTTTGGATTTCCTATGACTCTCGTACACAGTAGTTGGTAATCTTCTATTGTCGATTGTCCATGTCTTAATCTATTTAAAAGCTCCAAATATCTTATGTCTTCGGTTCGCATTTGCTGAGTTAATTCAACAACGCAGTTTATTTCAGACATAAGCTTCTGTGCACACAACATATCTATTTGACGTTCTGTAATTTGCTGTGTCCATGCGCTGCTACAATAGAGAGGCTTGTCCAAAACAGGAAAATATTGAAGGTAGTCGCCGAAGAAAATGACATTGACACCACCAAAAGGTATCTCAGAATTTACGTGCTTGGCTGTTTTGACTATTCGATTTAGACGAGCTAAGAGACTAAGTCCTACCGCACTCATCTCATCGATTATCAGGTACTTCACATGACGCCATTCATTTTCCAATTTCGTATCACCAGGTCTAAATGTACGGGTTTGTTTCTTTTTACTGTTTTTGCGACTTTCACCTAAAAATGAATGGATAGTTAATCCGTCAATCTCAGCTGCTGCTATAGACGTTGGTGCCAGTTTACGCAACATCTTGCCCCTCTTGGTTACTTGAGAATACTTGGTAATTGCATGAATCAACTGAGATTTTCCAGTACCACCGCAACCAAGTATGCACATTAATAACTGATTATCGATAATACCTAAATATCAAGACTATTCAAAACTTTCAATAACAAAATCAAGAAAATATACCGGTATAAGCATGATTTTCGCCATCTAAGTGACTAGTTATAATCATGAAAGCATATTTTTGCTGAGTATTTAGTGTAAATTGTCTGATAATATCTTGTTTTGTTGGAAATAATATTGCATTGGTTGTAGTTACAGGTGGAACTCTTGTAGCTCTCGTTTTAATAGGACTTGTTGGAATTTCAGTGGCTACGACTTCAATCTGTGTTTCATCATCTCGTATTTCCAGAGTACCTTCACCTGAAATTAAATAGTTTCTTGCTTCATCTCGTCGACCTTCAATGTCACGTTTCCACCCTTTAATCATGACGCTGTGATGTGCGTGGGCTACCACAAATGTGTTGATGTCGTGTATGGTGCCATAATTATTTTGGTCCCAAATGTGTCTGCTGTCTAAATCAAAACAAAATATTTTCGAAATATAATAGTAATTAACTCACCATTTAGTAATGCAAATCTATCTGTATTATCAATTGCTTGTAATGCATCATGAACATAGCGTTGTTCTTGAGTAGCTGTCAATGCAGAGTAAGCGTTTGTCGTGATCTCATTTACGATGGAGAGCATTTGCAAAAGTTGTTCAGGATCGTCTTCTTCTGCATTTTCGCCGCCTTCATAGTAATTAGGCATCAAAATAGGGTCAATGCTGTTGTCATTTTGGGCTTCTAAAAGAACTTGATGAAGATGTTCATCCCGATCGTGTTTGCATTCGTGCAAAAGTTGTATATTTTCTATAATCTTAAGCGAATTGGGAGAGATCAATAGCCTTCGAGCTTCCAATGCTTCAGACCATGTCTCATTCGTTGCACAAAGGTTCTGGACTGATCGCCATGGCACGAAGAATGTTAACAACGCGCGACAATAACGTTCATGTATTTCTTGTCGTTCGCGGCGAGGTATTTGAGGACCTATCAGAACTGGTACTACTGGAATGGAACGTTTAATTATGAGATGAGATGTTGATTGTGGATGTGCGCTGTCAAATGTATGACGTTCATTCATTTTCGTTCCTTCTGTAGGTAATTGTTGACCTTGAGAATCGGTTACATTCTTTAGTAAATGACGATCCGATTTGTCGATAGCCTTCTTGTGAAAATGGCTCACAAAGTCATATAAGCACAATGCACTCAGATCCTTTGATCGATGTTGATAGTCAAGACGAGTATTGACCAAGACATACTGATTGCCACTGTTGTTTTTTGTGGGTTCTAATAAAAATTGTTCTTCGATTTCGTTTTTACCTTCTCCTTGTTCATCGTAGAAAGGCATTGAAGTCTCTAGAAAACTACATATTAAAAATCTATACAATTATTTTAAAAAGTTCTACCATCTATTCTTTCTTCGACAATTTCTTTTTCGTTAATTCGTGCTTTATTTATTTCTGTTTGTAGATAGTTTTCGATTGAAATAAGAAAAAGATTTTTGAACGTATGTGTAGTGTAGTGGTCACCATAGTTCATTAGATATGATGCAACTTGAACACCTGAAACTTCTTGTTGTGAAGCAATCATATTGAAGCAGCGTAACACTAGTTTACGCGATTTGTCAACAATATTATCTGTGCTATTAGAAATTCGTTCATGCTCGATAGATTTGATGCCTTGTTGTGCAAGTGCAAACATATCGTAGAAGGCCAGAGTAGACTTTGTCACGTAGTCAGTTATATAGTACACTAATGCTTTAGCGTCATTTCCACTCCAGATGAACTTAATGTCCATGTTCGATCGACATGCAGTTAAGAGCCATTCGTTGAAGTTATTGATCCACGGATGCGATCGACGCATGGTTATTTGACCCGTCGTAGGATCAATATTAGAAGCCTTCACTAGTGCGCGTGGTATGCGCCTTTGACAAATTTTTGAACTATCATTTTTGCCTTTAGAATATTTATAGCAAGCCGCACAATGCTTGTGAATATTGCAGATTTCTACCAATTGAACTACATCTTTGCGGAACGTTTGATCAAAGTCTTCCAACGCAGGATTTGGTGTTGGGAGACATACTGGTATAACTTCACTTGCTGTCGATCCAATTTCTCCTAAGATGAAGTGAAAATTATAATTAAAGATCTACTAAAAACTTCAAAGCTCACCAATTGATGTTCTATTGTCTCTTGCTGTACCTGTTCCTTTGTCGGTTTCATCTTAAAAAAGAATATTGATATTCAAAAGTACAAAAAATATAAGTCTCATGAATATATAGTAAGAATAAGTGATTCGAATGAAACGTTTTGCATTAATGAAAATCTTCTGAAAGCTCACGTTTAAGGTAAGGCAGTGGTACACTATCAGGGTGTAAAACAGCATCAAGTAGGCAAATATAAAAACTTCAAATCACAGATTCAAACAATGTTAAATATATTACCTCGAAACGAATCTAAATCTTCTTTTATGACATCTTCTAAATATTTTAGTAAATTTTCACGAAAATCTTGATTTTGAATATTTTCTTTCAATTGAGCTGGGGTATATTCATGATTGAGCCAAATCAACAGATGTAAATGGAGCGATCCTCTTCCTTGACTCTCTACAGTGCCGAAATACCCTTTTGTAGGATCGAGCACACCACCGACCACTAGGCTTTTCAGAATGTTTTTTATTAAACAGTTGAAGAACTTTGCAGTTGCAACAGGGTGCGTCGCAACAATTTGAGCACGCTCATAACTTGTACGCAGGACTTCTGGCAGAACGTTATCAAGATCGAGATCGACACCTCCAAAGTAAAGTGCCACTGGACTATGGATGTCAGCCGGATTGATTGTGAGGAAAAGACTAGGAAGGCCAAGATAAAAACACAAAGAATGCATTTTTGTACGAAGAGCTGATCGTGAATGAGCTGAGCCCATGACATGACCACCAATAATTTTGATGTGCTTCATCAACGTATTTATTCTCTCGTCAGTAACTTTTGAATAAGGTGCTTTTGAGATATTAATAAGGGCTGCTGCTACATCTTCAGAACTCAATGAGCTAAGAACTTGTGCAGATTGTTGAAACCATGGTCTTGTTGTCATTAATTGGGCATGGAAACATGCTGTTCGGCGTTGTAAAATATTGAAGACAACAAATATAAATGAGTAGTGTTCTTCAAAGCGATGATCTGCATACGAAAGAAGATATCTGAGATGCTCACGAAAATTGATTTGAATCGGTCGAGAACCATCCTCAAGCCCACCACATCCATATGGGAATAGGGTGGGAAAGATTCCTAATAACAGATTTGGATTAGAATATTCATTGGCCGGTTTGTTGCCACGAGGAATTATGTATACAGTGTCTTGTTTAGAGTTTTGCTCGGTGTCTTTTCTGTGTGTTTTTTCTGGCACTTGTGCTTTGATTCGTTCTAAAAGATGTTCAGCAACTTCATCAGACGACACTTTGGTACCATTGACATCTAACACAGCACTATAACATAAACAATATTAGTGCAAAAATATCTACATGTCTCTTTGTCTTACCTTGAGATTTTAGGTATAGCTGTTGTATTGTTAAATTCAGATGCATTGATCAACGGATCAGGAATGTAACTTGCTCTTTCATTTTCAGCTGCTTCTACATTAGTAGAAATTTCCATAGTTGTCCACAAACACTCCGGTACATCATCGTCAGGTAATTTGTTGATTATTGATTGATTAATTGTAACTTTGCGATACAAAGGATTATTCTGTTTAAGCCATTGAAGTGCTTCGAAAACTTTCTTTTTCCGAACGGTCAAAACATTTTTTAATTGGTTTCGTTGCGGAGGACGATACCCAACAAAGATTATCTTTAGAGAATCACATAGATCATATAAATCTAGTGGTAAGGTAGTAGCTATGTTAATAACATCTTGGGGAAAACTTATGCAGTTTCCCTTTAAAGCTGACTGAGCTGTACTTGTCGAATGAAAAGACGAATGTAACTTGACAATGCAGCTATTATGCCTATAAAGAGCAATCAGTTTTTGCTCAGGAATTGTTAATCCTTGTAGTTCTTCTGGGATATCCCCAACCCATTTTTGTTGGCAGACGAAAATTTCGGTATTTTCTCTTTTATTAGAGACGACCAACATTCCGAACAAATATCACAGTGAAACGAAAGTCGTCTTTTTCTCTCAATAGTTTTATGCAATCCTGCTGTATAAAAAACGATACCATTTACACAAGTAAATGACTTTTTAGTTATTGTTGATTGAGTATTTGTATCTGAAATTAAAAACGAGACTATTTACTGTGTTAGTTTACGTATGAGCAAGACCAACCTCCTGCTTTTTCTGTTTGAAACAAAGCCATGACAAGATCGTCACTAATGTTAAGCTTATCATGTGACTGGAATTGGTGCGTTTCCTGCATTCCCGGAATTATGTCATAAAAATCATCGGGCACTTTCAGTAATTCAATAGATGGTATTTTACTGAACGGTATATGGTGGAGATCACGTTTGTAGCAACGAACGTTACAAATACCGCAAACACCTTCTTGCAGAGAACTCATCGACATATGTTGAATAAAGTTCTTTAAACAGTTCTTCTTACGTTCAATATCAATAGATTTTGGCCATTCAAAATCGTTACTTTCATGTAGTTTTGTTTTCATCCTTTCTTGTTGGTGCTTGCCACTTTTTTGAAGTAGCTTTCTCTGACGAGCAGATGCGCGCTGACGTTCGAGTTCATCAGATGTGTAAGCAGCTCGTCTTGCAGTACTTCTTTTGCGAGCTACTACTCGCTGTTCTTCGGCTGTTTTTGGTGACGCTGTAGCTCGTTTACTCATAGTTCGTTCAGTAGCAAGTGTTCGTTGTAGCTGGATTTCTTTCGGCGTAAGAGTAGCTCTCCATGCTGCAGCTTCATCACGAGTTTGCTCTCGTTGTTTTTCAATTTCTTCCGATGTTAAAGCAACTCTTCTAGCTGTACTTCTGTCTCGAGCCGCAGTACGTTCATGTTCAACTTGTTCTGGTGTTAAAGCAGCTCTCCATGCTGCAACTTTCTCACGAGTTTGCTCTTGGTGTTTTTCGATTTCTTCCAATGTTAAAGTAGCTCTTCTAGCTGCACTTCTGTCTCGAGCCACAGCACGTTCGTGTTCAACTTGTTCTGGTGTTAAAGCAGCTCTCCATGCTGCAACTTGCTCACCAGTTTGCTCTTGGTGTTTTTCGATTTCTTCCAATGTTAAAGTAGCTCTTCTAGCTACACTTCTGTCTCGAGCCACGGTACGCTCATGTTCAACTTGCTCTGAAGTTAAAGCAGCTCTTCTAGCTGCACTTCTTTCACGTGCAAAGGTGTGCTCTCGTTCAATTTGTTCCGCTGTAAAGACAGCTCTTCTGGCAGCACTCCT